CTTCAAGAAGGACCGTCGGATACGAATTTAAAGCTCAAACGTAAAACTTAGCCTTATTCTCTTTCGATCCAACCGCTTCCGTCCATCTTATTTCTAAACATTTTTACCTAACCTAGAGACTAATCCATATTATGTTGTCTAAATAAAAGTTGTATATTGGTATCATACGAGTCTAATTCTTTTTGAAATCATCTCATTTGGATCATCCATCTATTTTATATGAATTTTACAAAACTGCAATTTACTCCCGAATACAGTGTAAACAGCCCCAAAAACATACTGTTTCGAGCCACCTAGAGTCATAACTGGATTTTCGATCCTTCATCAAAGTTGTAGTATGCAGTAAGATCTTTCTGACTGCAAAATACGAGCTTATTCCGACTTACGGTTTGTGAGTTATATACTGCCAAAGTACAGGAGTTGCATTGCCGGTAAAATTCGAATCCGTAATTCCCGACTAACTTTTATGATCCAACTTTCTTGATTCGCTACATTTACATGCTATAAACATGCTTCAACATACTAAACAGTAAAACAAGTCTAATGGTCGTTAACCTAAGCTTAATAATGCATTTTTACTCTTTTCGACATTTAACCGAACAATTGGTGTACGGTTAAACATATACCCACAATCTAACCATATTGAAACTATAATATACCCTTTTCATTTCTACATCAATTTAACCAGTCCTAGCATCCTAAACATCAAATATATCATAATTTTGACAACATCAATCCGTAAACTTAGACATAAACACAGTTTATAAACCGGTCTTAATAACCATAATATAAACACCTTAATAAAATTGAATGAAATTTATACCTTTAAGAAGTGTTCGTAGAGTGGATTCCGAATATATAATTATTGTATCGATCCCTTTAGTAACTTGACGTGAAATTTAGAGAGAAGTCGAGAGATTTTTAGAGATAGAAAAAGAAAATTGAGACGTTGATGAAAAGAGAATTGAGAGACCGCCATCACAATCATATATGTATATTTTCTTTTTATTTTTTTCTTTTTTCTATTTAATTATATATATATATATATATATAAGGTTTAACTATTTGGCGGTTTTAACCCTACAAGTCTAGATTCTCAACTTATGCCAAAATAGGTATAAACTCAACTTTTGACACAAAACTAGTACAAGTTGGTTAAGAATATGGTACAAATATGTTATGCATAATTCTACCAAAAATTCACTTAACCCAATTTGTACGAGTTAACAGAACACGGATATTATATGTCACCATTATTTCCTTATCAAAATCTATCCTTATTTCCTTATCAAAATCTATGGATTAGTTACAAACAAAGACAGACCGAAGTCACAACCGTCTTGATGAAACAACCTCCATAGTTTTATCCACAAAATCTATAGATTAATCCCAAACGAAGACAGATCGAAGTCACAACCGTCTTGAAGGAATATTCTTTATAGTTTTTAACCAATAATGGTTTCAAAACAGTTTTGTCTTAAAGCTTTGAAATTCAAGAACAACAGTTCTTTCAAATCTCATTCCCAAACTCAAAATCTCCTTTAAATCCTTCAAATAAGATATCATTCATAAACTGTTTTAAAGAAGCAAAACCTTCTTTGATTTCCAAAACAATTTTACACCCAGATTCACAAACTTGCTACAAACTCTTTAAAAACAGTTTTATCATTTATCTTCAAATCATTCATCAAAACCCAGCAGTTCAAATATCATTATTTAAAATGATTTGGTAATAGAACTCACCTTATTAAGAACATATTTGAAGATCTAAATTGCACAACAATTTCTTCAAACAGACACAGAATCTTCAAATCACTTTTTAAGCAACAATTTTTCTCAAGAACAATCTCCACCGCCACACATACATTTTTCTCTCAAAAGTTCTTTCAAAACAAGATAAGATGAGATCTTATCTTTTTACTTTATATATATATATATATATATATATATATATATATATATATCTTTAACCAAGGCGGTGGTAGATTTATTCATATAAAAAATTTTGGACGGTGGGTTTTAATATTTTTAAATCACTTTTTCTTAACCACGAAGGCTTACCTCTTTTCACGATAAAATATTAATAAACCAATTAAGCATTCTACCTCACCAACATGTAATTCAATTTATGTGCACATATTTATATGAACACCTACACATGCATGCACAGTATAACCTTTTTCACATATACACATTATCTATGCATTTAATTAAATAACATGCATGTCAATCGCGTATTTCACAAAATAATCACATAAATGTTACCTCAACCCTGGTTGTCTGAAACACGATTATCACAAAATAGGTCTTTTTTTTACATTTTATTCATTTTTTAAATTTTATTTATTGTATTTTATGTTTCTTAAACTTTCATTTTATTGTCCTCAAAATATTATTTTTATACGATTTCTATACTTTTATTAATTTATGGAATTTATTATATATTAATAATAAAAAATAATGTAGAAAAAAAGATAAAAATAAAAATTTGAAGCTACGTAAACTTTTTATTTTGTGTTATTTTAATTGTTTTGACGAAAACTTCAAATGATATATTTTGTTATAAAAATTAATTATTCTATTATAATTTAATAAATTACATAAATTAATTAAAATAAACAAGTCATCAGGGGTAAATTGATCATTTTACTTGTTCTGTTATGTCCAGTTTTATTTTACCAAACGTTGAACAGTTGTTCTATCCTGTCCTGTCCTGTCATGTTCTGTCATGTATTGTCATGTATTGTCTGGACACCAAACACACACTTACTAAACATATATATGTAGTAGTTATATAGAGATATAGAAGTGACTGAAAATATATATGTATGTATGTGTCCGTGTGTATATATATAAGGTACGTGATGGTGTAATTGACCTAACTCTGTTTAATTTTCCATCATTAAACTTTCCATGTATCTTTCATATAAGAGGTATTTTGATCATTTGGCCTTACTAAATCCACTACTTCAATTTTATCAGGTCACATAGCCCAAAACACGAGGCCAACTAAAGAAAACAAAAATGCACTTCTTTAAATTTTCTAATGATATGGTTGTCATAAAAACATTATTCATGAGACTATGAAAGTGTCAATCCCTTATATTGATTAAATGTTAGTATTTCATTTAATTATGATTGAGAAAAAAAAAAATTGATTACCGACGATTTCAATCAACGGACATCAAAATTGTAGTTGTAATCTATATATATATTAAAGAAGAAACTAAAGGTAATGAGGTGGCACCTTCTAATGCTTAGAATCTTTCCTATCTTTTTTCTCATTTTTTTGATTTTTTTTAAATGTTGAATATGTTAAAGACTTTTTTGCCCMTTGATGAAAAATGTATAGCTCATAATTAACCCGGGTTATTTTTGTAATTTTGTATACCCAAGTTTAACCTTCAACTCTTCATTTGCTCTTCCTTTTACTTTCTTTTATTTCTTAATGAATTTTGTTTTTTAAAGTTTCAATAATAAATAAAATGAAATCATATAAAATCCTTTGGTGAGGGATGAAGAAGATGAGAGTTGAAGAAGAATTCAAAGATTTTAAAAGGTATGTAGAAATTATATTCATTAAAAAANAAGAATTCAAAGATTTTAAAAGGTATGTAGAAATTATATTCATTAAAAAATGTGATTTGTTATTACATGTTTCTTTTTCAATATTGTTGGATATGTTGTTATCATATGATATGATTGTGTTTACGATTGGATTATATAAAATTTTGATATTTTATAATCACAGGATATGATAAACTTTTTTCGAATTTAAGCTTCATTAACAACAACTATTTATTCATCTTCATCTCTCACACCCTCTCAAATTCTATCTMTATCTTATACATCTCTAAATTTATTTTCTTTCTCTTTGGTTTTTCTTCTATTTTACTATTGATAATCTTCATAGTTTTTTTTTTTTCACTTCTCCCATAAGTTTATGTATGTTTGTATCGTTATGTTATTTAGGTTGCATTATAGTTTTTATGCATTATGTCATGAAGATTTGAAAAGAAGTCTTCAAGTTCAATATTTGATTTTTTGGTTGCAATATAAGGTAAAATATTTATACTGATTTGTTTCATTATTTTGATTGCATTATAATTTTATTTATGTTTGTATCGTGATTTTTGTTTGCATTATAACTCTTATATATTAGGTAAAGATTTAAAATGTTCAAGTTCACCATGTAATTTTTACTTATGCATGTTGAACGTTTTTTGGTTTGCAGGTTTTCGAGTTCTTTAACGTTTATATATCAAGTCATGAAAATTTGAACTTTTCAAGTTTGGGTTGTGGGAATTTTTGATTATGATCTAAGGTAAGAATTTTATGCAATTTTGTTTTGTAATTTAAAGTGTATTAGAATGTTATATATGTTTGTATCATGATTTTTATTGGATTATATTTTTAAGTATGTTCTTATCGTAAGTTTAGTCGTATTATAATTTTATGTATGTTCATGTTATGATTTTGATTGCATTATAATTTTATCTATTGGGTTATAAAGATTTGAAGTCTTTAAGTTTGGTATGTGATTTTTTACATATCGTATAGTTGGTCCGGTCCATTCACTATTGTGTTTTTAAAGTCAAGGTATGTGTTGAAGATGAAAAATAGTACTTGTACATCATCCTTTGAATGAGACATATCTTTATGTGGAGTATTTTTTATTCTTAAATTTGTGTCATATTCCTTAATATTTCCTCCGTTGTTATTACTCATTTTATTTAGTTTTACAATTTTATTACTAAACAAATCTCTCTCTCAATATATATATATATATATATATATATGTGTGTGTTTATATTAAAATTTCATTAACTATATTTTATTTAACTTTTTCGAATTATTTGAATATGATTTGTTGATGATTCTATTAACAATTAATATATATTTATATAGACAATCATCATATATTAATCAAAAGGACGCATATTACTGCGCAAGGCGCGATTCCTATACTAGTGGTTATAAAAACATTTATGCGAAGTTGAAGGGTAGGGGATGATGTAGATGGATGATTCGAGATGCATCTAGAACTATAAACAACAATTAAAATGTTCACATCCGATTTCAATTAAAATCGTCGATTGGAGAAGGGAAATATGGGGTTCTTAAGAACAATTTCAACAACGACGGCCGTTACAACAACAGCAGCAGCTCTAGCTCTCAATTCCCTCGCCCCATCTTCAACTTCATCCTCCTCTTATAATTATAATTTCACCAAACCCTTTTTGAATTCATCGTCTCCAGCTTCGAGTCGTTTCGGGCTAATGAAGACTCTCGCTGCCCCTCCTCCTGCTCTTCACATGGACGCTAAACCAGCCCTGAAGGTTAGGGCTTTTTTACTTCAATCCATACGGTTGTTGATGTTTTGATTTCAGAATTTATCATTATATTCTTGGTTTTTGTTGTTATAATTTCTGTATTGTTTCATTTCTTGCAGCACGATGCGGAATTACCAGAAGTTATGGTACGTTCTAAATCTTCATTTTCCGCTAACTATTTGATCGGTTGTTGAAGTTTGTAGCATGTTTATAGCATATGCAATCTTTATTTTGTGAGCTCAATTGGACTAATTTGAATGATTAATGAATTGGTTTCCATAAAGTCGTTGACAGCATTAGAAGTTTTTCGACTTGGTTTACAATTGAATTTAACCCTATTCTAAGATTTTGTATACATGTGATTTCAGACAGAATTCATGGTGGATATGAGTTGTGAAGGTTGTGTTAAAGCGGTCAAGAATAAGTTGCAAACAGTCGATGGTGGGTGTTATAAGTGCAATAAGTATGGAGGCTATGTGATTCATGTTGTTGTTTGTGCTCAATATCTTGCTTAACTAAGTTGATTCTGTTTTTTATGTTGCTTTAGGAATTAAGACCATTGATGTGGATCTGAGCAATCAAGTAGTTAGAATATTCGGGTCTTCTCCAGTGAAGATCATGGCTGAAGCCTTGGAGCAAACTGGCCGGAAAGCCCGGCTAATTGGTCAAGGTTCTCCAGGAGGTTGGTTCTTGGTTTCATTTAACTTTTTGTCTATGGCTTTCTGGATATCAATTGTTCTTCTATTTGGTTATATGCCAATAATAAGTAGCCTCAACCATGAAGTTTGGCAATCCTCATTGTACGTTTTTTTGGTAATGTTCAACCTTAAACCGAACCAAAGGAACCCAATATAACTCGCTCAAAAGGAGGGTCTGAGAGGGGTGATATACGCAGACATGACATCTAACCCAAGAGGTAGAGCGGTTGTTTACATGAAGACAAGAGAAGTCTTGCTTTAGGATGTTCTTTTTGGGTATTATTGTATGCCAAATAAGTGTATATAAAGACAAGATATGAACTAGGATGTCAAGTATTAGTAGTTTCTGAAAATGAGGCTAAGAAAGCGTCCATCTTGGTAACTAGTGACTTGTAGCAATGGCCTTGTAGTGCAGGGGATACGATTGTATAGTTTCATGAACTTTTGGTTTCTTTTTTCAATGTGTGGCCTTGGAATTTCTGTATATGCAAGCATCCATAGCAATTGGTCAAATTTTGGCCTTCCCGACTCATAACTCTGACAAAAAAATGTGCATATAGACAGTTCGGGACCACTATTCGAAATCTTAGTGAAACACTGGATTTGTTATCTCATGTTGGCTTTTCGTGAAAAAATACCAATTGAAGTGGAGGGTTTTTTCAAACAACAAGGGGCTGGGTCAACTATTCAATCAAATGATATTGAGCATGTTTCCCATCTCTTCTCGAGAAACAAGTGGGCTATTTCTTTGGAAACGCGGGTCTAAAGTTTAGATAACGAAAGAAGAACGAAAGAAGAAAGAAAGTTCTCGACCATTGTTTTTCGGTTTGATTCAGAAACTTTATTTCATTGGTCTTTCTCGTCTTTCTCTCTTTCAAGTTTCAAGATTGTATAGTTTAATGGTAAAGTTTGATTACCCGGCAATCGCAATGGCTTMTTTATTTCTTCATGTTCAAAAAAACAAGATTGTTTAGAGCCGATGGGACAAAATCTCATCTATTTTTTTTTTCAAAACTGACGCTTGTATCATAACACAGTGGCAATTTGGAGTAATCCAAAATATGGCTATTTTGGATTCATTGAGAAAATTTTTACCCTTAAAAATGCCACTAAACCATGTTTTTATCCTTAGCTGACCATTTGTTTTAACTCCAAATCCATCGACTTTTTCCAAAATTTACTCATCTTCATCAATCATCAGCATCGTCGTCTGCAACAACAAAATTGAATGATTCACCTCTTATGTTATAACCAAATGGATTTGCTGTCAGCACCTGCACCTACATACTAACACATACCATATTCCTTTTTTGGTTAAAATTTTCATGGGTTTCCAAGTCATACCGACCCAATATACATTTTATTAGCTACTGCTACTTCTCCTTCAATAATGATAATGCAAGGTACTTAACTCCCCTGTTTAAGTTGTGCAAAAACCTTGCTTTTAACTTCAATTCTGCCTGGACTTGGTTGGTTCTGATTTGTTGGCTTTAAGGAGGTGATTTTGATCTGCTCATCTTCAGCTGGTTTCATTGTGGTTCTTCTCTTTGAATTTTATTAACTGGAATTGGTGATCAAACTTTATTTGGCAGAAATTTGTATAACTTTTACATGATTTTGTATTTTGGAAAGAAAAAGATGATCTGTTTTTGGTATGGGTGAACATGTTTTGTCCAAAATTTGGACATTGTTAGTTCTGGGATGTGTGGTTAGAAGATGGAAGGGAAGACGATAGATATTATTCGCAAAATGGTCATCTTTAATTCTTTATTCACGGAGGCTCTACACTTTGGCTTGGCTCATACATTTTATTGCTAATACATTGATTTGGGACTGAATCCTCTTACCTTCGTTTAGATGTCTTCATTTCTGCTGCTGTTGCTGAATTCAAAGGCCCAGAAATTTTCGGAGTGGTACGTCTGGCCCAAGTGAGTATGGAGTTGGCTAGAATCGAAGCCAACTTCAGTGGGTTGTCACCTGGAAAGCACGCATGGTCCATAAACGAATTCGGTGATCTTACTCGAGGTGCCGCAAGTACCGGAAAACTATTTAATCCAATCAAGCAGCAGCTATCAGATGAAAAGGTCAGTTCCTTCTCGGTTTTCTGCATTTTAACCATTTAAATTTCAAATTTCACACCGTTCTTAAGAACTAACCATGGTTCTTGTGAAAAAGAACATTGTAGTTTAAAATGTAAAGAATGGTACTATTAACAGGCAAAATTCGAGTTCCTATTTTGTGTAACAAATAATTTTCTTTTTAATCAATTTTCAAAGTTTCCTAGTTGATGTAACAAAGTTCCAAAATTTCCTTCTATACTTGACACTTGAAGACGCTAATGTCAAGATTCAGTCACTGTTTCATAAGTCTTTCATAAACGGGTATTTACATCATCAAATGTTATAGGTCAAAATGGGTACAAAATAGGAGAATTCTTCGTTACCCTGCTAAATAGGAACTAAACCCAGCTTTGTTATTAACATGGTAGAAGTTTCAGGCGCTTGGTGACCTGGGAACACTGGATGTTGACGAGAAAGGAGAAGCCTTCTTCTCGGGTGTGAAACATAACCTTACGATTGGTGATCTCGTCGGCAGAGCTATAGCAGTGTACGAAAGTGAAGATAGATCCGATACTGGGCTTGCAGCAGCAGTTATAGCTAGAAGCGCCGGAGTTGGTGAGAACTACAAAAAACTTTGCACCTGTGATGGCACCACCATCTGGGAAGCGACCAATGCAGATTATGTTACCAGCAAAGTTTAACTCGATCCTGTTGCCACATTATCGATGTCATTTTGATATATCGAAGGGTGTAAAACTACTTGTAAGGAAGAGTCTCGATTGTCGAAGTTGTAACATTTGTATGTGGATGCTTAAAAATACGAACTTGGTGTCTCTTATGAATAATAGGCCTACATTAGAGGTCTAGTTTACTTTGTCCAGCCATTCACTTAATGATGGCAATGACAGCCCGGGTGGGTACCTGGTCCAGCTACATAACTGGGTCTCGGATATGGGGACAGGGATACACCGTACTTACCGTCAAGGCTAGGGATGGTATTTCCCTGCACTGGGCTTGGTATTTTTATATATAAAGAGAGTTGGGTTTAAACAAAAATAGCACCTATTTAAAAAATTCACATATGATTTTATATTAACTATCACATATAAAATCACATGTTATTCACGTGACTTGGGTAGGTTTGTTTAGGAACGTTAAATATTTTAGGAGCTCCGAACTCAGAAACCTTTATTATATTAATTAAAGTTTGAATAAGCCAAAATCTAATTGATTATATAACCAGAAGTTTTAAATACCAAAATATGTTTATGATATAATTAACGTCTACGATTATTCCATCTTTTTTCATAAAAAAGATCTGCAATTTCAGGATTAAATGAACAAATGGCATACGAAAGGATACACACCCACAATAACTTTTCTCAATCAAGTCGCTAACAGGCTGGTCCTGACTCGAATCAGCCATAGAAAGCACGCACATGCTAATAAATCAAACCAATATATGGTTAAAACCACCCATTAAGACGAAACTCTTATACAAAAAACCTAGGAGAATACTTGCAGCATGTGAAAGTAGATCACTTCGAAAACCTGCAGAGATCAATTTCTGGGTGGCAGCAAACCTTCTTTTTTGGCCATTTCATATATTGCAATGGACATCAATACTTTTGCATCAGGGGTCATGCACCAAAGTGTATCGTAGGGAACCACGTGCACTTTAATCAGTTCACCATGTTCCCGGAGCCCGGTTTCTTTTCCCTGCAGATGTTTAATAACATCTGCACTTACACTTCCTCTGTAAAGAAGTAAGCTAAGTTCCTCATCACATCCACCCTACCACCACAAACAACAACCATGTAATTAAAAACCAAGTGGATGGTTTCGGTACCAGTCTCTGCCAACCTATCAAGATTGCAACAAGTTACTCTAGATTTAGGGGCCGATTACCAAACGCTTATGGAGCAAGTGCTTACTGGCAACAGTCACCACCCTTACTTACCTTGTCAGGTAACATTCTCGGCCATCAAAATGGATGGTTGATGAGCGACTTTTACCCAATAAACACTTACCAAGTAAAAGTCTTCTCCCTCACTTACCGGATAAGGCTCTTGGTCTTGCCATGCTCACCCGGTAAGGTAAGTGACAACCAGTAAGTGTTTGGTAAACGGCCACTTAATTTATTAAGTATTAGTCAGATGTGACGACACAACAAAAGGGATCTAGACCAAAATCATAAAAATAGTAATGAATGCATTCAGCAAACTAGGTGTAGGGACCTGTAGCTAGCGTGACAAGAAAGAAGTTGGAGAGATTGAGGGTGGGATAGGGGAAGTGTGAGGAAGCTTTCACATAGGTCACCTAAGGCCAGATGCGGTTCCAGAAGTGGGGGCACAAAATTAGCATGATATAAAATAAAACAAAATTAGTTACAAAAAGCACGGTTTTTTTAAAGATAAATAAATGGTTTTTTGCAACATTCAAAGTGAGTTTTTCCTTTTTCCCCTTCTCTTCTGCTGCTGTTACCAAAAGAATTAAAAGGGTTGAACTTGCAACCTCTAATGTCACATGCAATGACACTGTCAGTAGACTAGAACCACTTTTTATTAACTTGAGCACACATCAACTTAAAGCAGGTGCAACTTTAGGACCCCTAAAATTTTCCCTCCACATCCACACGATAGAGAGAGAAATATGCTCCCTTGAGTCTTATGTCGGATAAAGGGATGTGTGCTTTTTCTTAGCGTTTCTATGTTTCAATGTACCTACTTTTCCCTTTCTCTGTTGTGGGTTGCCTACTATTTACTAGACTCTTATTTCATCCTACCTTTTTGCTCACACTTTTTTCACAAGCTGGTTTTCACAGGAACAGCTTAACCTCTGAGGTAGATGACAGGTCTATATACATTCCACCCAAGACCCTATTTTCAAGTGGAACATATTAGGTTTGTTTGATTTGATTTGGTTTTACATGCAGCAAATAGGTCCATTTTTGCCATGATCAATAATTACATACACACAATGATGGTTGTACATGCAGGAAACCAAGAAAACGAACACATTACACTATATTCATGTAGTATAGTAATTTGCCTAAAATTCTTATTACATACACATACCGGTGAAGGGATAACTTTGCATCCAGTGGATGGGTCCAGGAAGGATGTGAGATCGACCATGTCATCTAGATGCAACTGAATTCCAGTCTCCTCTTCGACCTGACATATTTGAACGACAAAGATTTTCATATGCAAAAGCTTGTCATGCATCGATATTGCTCGTGAATATAACAACCAATGATGAACAGGCAAATAAAAAGATTGAACAGACTAAACATCAACAATCATAACCGATTAGAGAAAAACCACCTGCTAGATTTGCATCCATAATGATATCATAACAGGCAACCTCTCATGATTAAAGCCTTCAAATTGATATCAATCATCAATTTCTATGATCGATTAACCTAATTGTGAATTGAGCATGCTTGTTTATGTCACTGCTAGGGCTTTCAGGTAGACATATAAGAGCATCTCCAACAAATTCTTCAAAATGGAGAAAATGGGGATTTGGGGCAATTTTTTTGCTCCAACAGATTCTCAGAAACTCTCCAAAATGGAGAAAGTAGGAGAGAGGGTGTGAAATTCTCCAAATCTGGAGAAATCTCCAAAAACGATTTTTATTATATTCCACTAATAAGAAATTTTGAAATTAAATGTTGAAGAGGGAAATATTATTTTATTAAATGTATGGAATATTTTAATAATATATTAATATTGTAATCTTTAAAATGGAGAATTGGTTGAAGTTGAATAACCACCCAACCATGCAAACACCACCCTGTATTTGAGTAATTTTAAGATCTTCCTCCATTTGTGGGGACTGACAAAGGGAACTGGGGGCCATCATGTATGTAAATCTTATTGGGTAACTGAGAGAACAAATACAAAATTCTTCCGAGAAAGAAACATGGTGAGTAGTGCTGACAATAATATATATATGTAGAGGAGCGATCAAATGAAAACCACCCTCATTTGTAAAAACCGTACAAACCACCCTCATACGTCGATTTTATTGTTTAGTCTTATGAAAAAAATTTCATGAAATTGTTTAATCTTGTGAAATTGTTTCATATAAT